AATTCGTTTCGCAACAAAATCACTTACCACCCCCGTCCTTTCGTCATAAATTTAGAAGCACTCGGTACTATTTCATAAAAATGATATACTTTTGTACTTTCAGTTTTTTGGTTCAATATGTTTTAACATCTCGAGTGATTAAACGATTTATCAATCAAGTTTTAAATTCTTTCTGTATTCTTGAAATCTTATTGGTTGTTTTTGAAAAACTAGAGTTATTTCCTGCCGGAATATTCGCACCTAACGCCACATACACATCAATAACTGTCTACCTGCAGAAGAAAATGTATACATCACCTTCAAAGTAACGTGGCTCGCAAAACCCGACTTTCCTCATGACGTAACATGAAAGGCGTTTAAATTTAGATAGCATTGTAAGCTTTCGGTGCACCTCTCGCACCCTTTTCTTCTTTTTATTTCCCCCCTCTCGCTCTCTTTTCGTTCGTACCGTAGAGTTCCGCTTATTTCGGACTCAAAAGGCGTATCAAGACGAGATCAAACACTATTCAGATTTCAGCACCTTTACGACTTTCAAATGCAGCAACTAAAACGTTCTGTGTTTCCTATATTATGCATTTCGTTTTATGCGAAAACGAGCCATTTTAAATATGGATAGTCAATATTTTTCGAATAACACTTTTCGATCTCCATGTAATAGTAAATGTAAATGTAGAATTTATTTGAAAATGATTGAGAAAGTTGGAACATTTATGTGTAAATTGAATTTTCTAGTAAAACGAGTAGGATTAGGGGGTAATGTTGGACCGGAAAGGTTCTTCCTTTAAGGTAATGAATATGTGCGCAGATGGCGCTCTGAATTCGCGCTACCAGCCCAATTGAAATTATCGATTTTTAAATTACCACTGATGGACAGCATTGAAACGTCAATCAACTTCGAGTGTTGATTAAGGCTGGAGTTCTATGGATTAACACGCTGATGACTATAATTGACTGTCACAGCCAGGTTATGACAAGCTCGATTAAATATTGTGAATTTATGAATAAATATTTACATATTTTACTTTTTTCATACATTTACCAATGTTAGTGCTCATACATTGCTCGTATTATACTTTTATTGAACTAAAAGTGAAACTAATACTAAACCTATAACTAGAAACATCCGGGTTTATTTAGTTGTCTTTAGAGACCTGCGGTTAAACCCGAATGATTCTAGTTCTACGTCTAGTGTTAGTTCCTCTGTTTTTAAACCAGGAGGAGTAAACGCGAAAGTCAGATTTACACTAGGAAAAATCACCAGAAAATATCACTAGATATTTTGGCGGTAAATTTAAATTAATAATTATTATTATTTATTTATTTACTTATTATTGTATTTATTTTCGTTTGTTATCGTCAACACTAAACATACAAATTAACATTGAAGTTATGAGTGTATTTATTTCAAAATATAATAAAGAAGGGTTTAAGAACACAAAATTTACAATAATGACACGAAACTGTCGAATTGTCAATAACCTAACCTTCAAATTCAAAATTGCCTGTGTGTGAACCTTCCTCGCATTCAACCAATCACGTGCAAGGTCAATCTGGTGACAAATTTAAAATACTCCT